GTTGAGAGGCAGTAGTAGCAGTGTAGTTGGAAGCAAGGTTGTCGAGGGCAAGGAGCAGCAAAGGGTTGCTGAGGCTAGGCGCTGCAGGGGGTGGTTCGCTGGCCGAGAATAGCGGTGACAACCCTTTCTCGCTCTAGCAGAATATGGTGCACAGTCGGAGGGCGACTGTGGTGCAATAAGGGGGCGTGCTAGCTGAGAAGCAATGGTGATGATGGTCGCTGGCCGGAGAGAAGTTATGACGACGGTCTTTAGCCAGAAGTAGGGGAAGTAGGGGCGAAGTCTTGCTCGAGAATAATGTAGCTACGACGACCCTTTCCCATTTCGGAAAGGGTGCGTGGCTGGAGGGCGACTACGGTGCAACGAGGGGGGTGCTGGCTGGGAAGCAATGGCGATGGTGGTCGCTGGCCCAAGAGAAGCGACGATGGTGGTCATTGTCCAGAAGTAGGGGTTCTTAGTCACGTGCGTGGATGTTGGCCTTTTTTTTTTTTTGATGATGATAACTGCAGCGAGAATGCCGAGGATCACTGCTCTGATACCAAATGATAAGACCCTAGGGTTTTATCGTTGAAGAAAGAAGGGAAAATGGATTATCACTTCGAGGGGATTGGCCTCCTAGGGTAAATTCAAAAGACTGAATAATATTTCATTGTCTGCTAAAAAAAAAAGGTTACATCGTTATTTATAGAATTTTACCTAGAGTCTACCATGACTTGGACTCTTAATAATAAATAAATAATAAATAAACCTCTATCTAACTCTAACTGAACTAAATAGACTCAATAAACATTATTCAAAAGCTTAGAAAATAAAAGGATCCTAATAGATAAAAACTAAAATAAGGATAGTTGATCTTTTTCCATTGAGAAGAAGATCAGTAGTGAAAGTTAGTAATCTCGAAAGAAGAGGAATTGAGAGTAGACGTAGGTCGGGAAGATTAAACCATTATAAATTGATTTATATTTCTTTTCTTGCTTGTAACTTTTGTTTGTGATGACTTATTCATTTCACTCACAAACCTTACTCAATATTTGATTAATCATGATTTGAATATGGATCTTACAATCAAAATTTTAATTTAGTTAAAAATTTCTATAACATTAATCACCCCCACCTAGTGTCATTAAGATCCTAATAATACCTAGTCACATAGGCTAGATCATGCCTGAATATATCTGTTAAATTGTACTATGCCACATGAGTTGATTCACGCCTGACTACATGGGTTAGGTCATATTTAATCATTTGAGTTAGCCTAACTAATCAACTTAACTCAAGACAAACCCTAATTTGATCCCTCTTAGTAAATTAAATTTTAATATTTTTAAAATATTTAAAATATTATAAATTAATAACTAACCTCAAACTCATTCTTTTTCATAAATTAACTAATTTAAATTTATATTTTAAATTTAACACTAATTAAGTAATAAAAAATTACACGTAATTCTTTGAAACATAAATATATCTAATTAAATGAATTAGAACTATTATTAAATTAATTTATCATTCTAACATCAGAATTTAATTATTATTATTTATTAATTATAAAATTTTGAAATTAAAATATTGTTTTGCATCGTACAAATTTTAATAAATCTAATATCAAAGGTTGTAAAATATGAATAAAAACTGATAACAAAAAAATATAGAATCCTACTTCTTAAGGAAAGAGAGGAGAGCTTCTCACATAAGGATAAACAATATTTTTTTATTTTATTTTTGCACACAAATATATAATTATAATATTTATTTCTTACAGTTCACACATAAAAATATAATTTAAATTATTTACTTTCTAAAAGTCATATTACTCATTACAAAAAAAATGTTAACTAATAATTTAATTAATTGACAATTTTTTTTAACTTATTTATGTGATTAAGGGAATCAATTTTAATCATTTCTTTAATCATACTATACAAATAAAAAAGTTAATAATTTAAATAAAATATTATATTAGTTATTATAATTTGATTTATGTTAAAGAGAGAAAAAATCATTAATGCAATATGTCCATCTTAATATCTACATCCACATGGTCAATCTATTCTAGTCCTGTGAGTAATAAACTTTGAATGCCAGCGCCAAGATAAAATTCCATCCTCCACCCAAGATTCTAAAATAAAACATCCTTTCGATTACTACTGTATTCTTCTGAGAGGGAGAGAGTTAAAAAAACAAAGGGATGAGCCTACTGCATCAAAGTCCCTACGGGAACAAATTGAGTCCTATTCACCCATTGAGAGAGTAATATCTCAATGTATTAATCTATGCACGTTTGTATCTTTTATAAAGATAGAAGATAAGATTTCCTTAACTATACGAGAAAATCTTTCTATTTTGTTAAAAAAAATCTTCTATTCTGTTGAGGGAAATCTTTTCTCCTAATTTATATAAATAGGAGAGGGAACATGTTAATGTATTGAAGCATTTTTATTTCTTCAATAAAGCTTCTTCAATAATTATTCTTATCTTCTATTCTTTTCATCAGAAACATCCTCTTGCCGCTTCGAATTCAATCCACACAATTACCTGAATATTGAATTTTAGCACGATATTTCATACATTGGTAAAATATTATTATGAGTTTGTTAGAAATCGAAAAAAAGTCATGATCATGCTAGAAAATCTTTTAGAATAATAGTGAGTATCAAGAAATCATAGAATAATAGTGAGTATCAAGAAATCATAGAATAGAGTATCAAGTAGAAGAATAGAAAAACTTCAAAGCTAAAAAAATCTTATTAAGATGAAAACTTATAATCTCAAACTCTTTATTTATACATAGTGAATGCAAGACTTTGACTCCAATTATGATAGAGACTCCTCACTAAGATTTCTAAACTACAATTCTATCTAATTATAAGGTTTGATTTAGTATTCCAACATCGTTTATTAAATTAAATTTTATAAAATATTATGAAAAGCTTTGAAGCTTAATATAATCTCATGTTGTTCCTATGTGTAGTATTTTCTGAAATATCTATATTCTTTGTTGTTATGTATAGTGTTTTCTAAAATATCTGAATTATGAGTCATGCAATTCACTGTAGTAATTCATGTGCTCTTGATCAGTCATAAAACTTTAATTTATTTAAAAATAATCTTGTCAGACTTCTTGAACTAATTTTTAAATACAAGATCAGTCTAATCAATATAATCATCTGCATCTTCATACCAGTAGTAGCAACATATTATGAATTTTTAATTAGTAAAGTCTTCTATATAGGGAGATAAAATTACTTTTATATTTACTATGAAAATAAAATCAATACTATCCATATTGCAATCTAAATCTTCTTTTTGTATAATCTTGATATCTTCAATTTGAGTAAAATTACTATGGGGGAATTTATCAATATCCGATAAGGTATGTTCTTTTATCTTTATCTTTACTCTTATTTAATTCTATGTCATGTAATTTTTTTATTTATCTTCAAATAATATAGAAGAATATATATCTCTTTCATAAATATCTTCTAAAATTAATCAATCATACTTCTCTTTATGTCTTAACTCAAGAGATGAGCTTCAATGCTCTTTTATGTCCTTCAATGCTAAAATTCAGTTTTATTTTTTTTATTTTTGAAAAGTAATTCAAAAGCTTTATCATTTATCACATCTTCAAAATTATCCATAATAATTTCTTTTAAACCTTCTAATTCGAGGTAAACTCTCATTATAGTTTTTCATCTTCAGTAATCTTTTTCCATCAAATTTAGTTGAGATCTAAAATAAATCATCATCCATGCTTTTAATCTTTTCTATTGAAGGTCATCAAATTTTCAATCGATTCATCTCTCTCTTTGAACCAATTATCTTTTTTTATTAATTATAATTGAATATATCGATTATTATTTTTTATATCGATATCTCCTCTTATTTGGTGTTTGTCACAATCTGATCTACTCCTCGTAGACGTGGTGAGTATATCTTCTCTCTAAAATTCTCTTTATAATTTCTCTATCTATTATTTGTCTCTTTAATAGCACTATCTCCTTCCTCTAGAATAGTTTTGTTTCTTTCTCTATAGTGCTATTTTTCTCTTTAAATAATGTTATTTCTCTTTCTATAGATCTATTTCTCTCTCTAACACGATCTAATCAAATCTCTGATGGGATATAGGTGCTTGAAACGACTTTAGCTCTCTTGGAGAATAACCTTAACTTTTATACGTTTTTGAGGATTACAGCCACTCTAAAAGCAGGTTAGAAAACAAAAAAAATCTAAATCTTTCGGAAAGAGATTGAGCATAAAAAAATCATATCAAAGAACATCAAAAGAGACTAAAGAAACTTTAAATCTAAAAACTCTTATTAAAATGAAAGCTTATAATCGCTTGTATTATAGATCCTGGTGCCTCTTTTGGTTTTTTATCTCTCCTCCCAATGTATTGCATAAGCCTAATTAATTCAAGATTTAAACTCCCTAACTTAATTAAGACTCCTAAAATAAAATCTTATCTAATAAAAAAAATTTGATTTATTATTTCAAGAGGATTGATAGAAGAAGAGAAATAAAAAACCCGAGGAGATCAAATGCAGCCGACCGTACCGATTGACAACAAACTCCACTAGTCCAATAAGGTTCGACCCAATACCACACAATCAAGAACTCTAAATCCTAAATGGAACTCAAACGACGGAAGAGGAGAAGAAGCTTGTCGCTCGTTCCATCGTCGGAGGTGCCCACTCACGCTTCGTTTTTGGCGAGCAAGATTGGATCGTCATCGTCCGAGCCCACACTCGCTGCCACATGGCAAAGTTCAATCACCATAAAAGGCGACATGCGCTTCATTCGCACCATGTCAAACTTAATCAAGTTTTTATTTCAATTATATAATTACTTAATATCAATATAGATAAATATTATATTCCATAACCATTCCAAAAAAGATTTACTCATAAATCCTAATAAAAATTAGATATTGCATTATTATTATTATTATTATTATTATTATTATTCCAAATTACTTGGCTACATTTGCGTTGAACTCCGCCCCTTCCCATCACAATTCCTCCCCGTCCCCCTCGCCGATCGCTTCTCCATGGTCACATGCATCTCTTCGACCTCTCTTCCGACTGCGATCCGATACGCCACCACAACCCTCGATCTCTTCATCGATGCCATCCGCCTCCGACCAAGAACTCGATCCTCCCTCCGCGGCCACAGCACGAACTGCAATACCGGACACGCCGCCCCCACCGCCGACGCCGCCGACGGCGAGGTCCCTTCTTCCGATCTCCTTTCCCGCTTTTCCGGTATCATGAAACTTTTCCCCAATCGAAGCCGTGCCTTCTTCCCCGAACCCGGCGCCAAGCCTTTCGAATCCGATCCCTTCCACTACAACGTCCTCATGAAGGCCTTCAGCCGTGCTGGGAGGCCTGATGAGGTCCTCCGTCTCTTCCGCGAGATGAAGGAATCCAAATGCGATCCGAATGTTCTCTGTTACACCACCGTCATCGATGCGCTTGTCGCCTCGAACCGGTCGGAGGAAGCAGAGAAGGTGTTCGAGGAAATGATCGACTCAGGTGTTACTCCAGATGCTGCGTCCTTCACGGTTCTGGTGAAATTCTATTCCTTTTACCTCAGAAAGTTTGACTCGGCCTGTGAGATCATTAGATGGATGGTGCGGAGTGGCTGCGATCCTGATGTTGTCACCTACTCGACGCTGATTGCGGGGCTGTGCCGGGCCGGAATGGTCGAGGAGGCATGGGGTGTATTGGATCAGATGCTCCAGGGGAATTGCTCACCTAATGCCCATTCCTACGCTCCCTTCCTTCAGGCATACTGCTCCCAAGGGAAGATTGAAGCAGCAATTAGGCTGATGGAATCGATGCGGAGCATTGGGTGCCCGCCGGATTCCGTTGCTTATAATATACTTATCAATGGGTTTTGCAAGCATGGGTATTTCAATGAGGTTGCATATCTTTTAGAAAACTGTGTTTCTGATGGTTGGGAGCCTGATGCAGTTACATATAACACCTACATCAGTGGACTTTGTAAGGTGGGCAAGGCAGAAGATGCTTTCAAGCAGTTAGAGATGATGCTTCAGAAGAAGTTGTGCCCTACTGTCGTGACATTGAACATTGTACTTGATAGCATCTGTCGAGAGTCAACAGTATGGGAGGGTAACCACCACTTGGAGAGGAGCTTGGAGTTGGGATTAGAGGTTGATGTTGTCAGCTACAATACCATAATAAGTAGGCTTTGTGAGATTGGAAAACTGTCTTGGGTCTTGAAGCTTGTCACTGATATGATAAAAAAGGGCATAAGTCCAAGCACGGAAACTTTTAACATCATGATTCGTAGCCTATGTAAAGCAGGAAAATTTCGGAAGGCAAAGTGCATCTTTACCAGTAAAGGGTTTGTTGCTGATACCATTACATGCAACATTCTGATCCATGAGTTCTATATGGCAGGGAAAATTGTTGAGCTTCATAATCTTTTATCTGGAGTAGATATGGATAAGATTAGACCAGATTCAATCACCTACAATACCATTATAGACTGCCTTTGTAAGAAAGGAAAATTTTTGGAGGCCATCGATTATCTTAGATCTGTTGAAGATGGGTTTCCATCAGAGGCAGTTGCACATCTGGCTTATTGGTTGGTCAGGGGCAGAAAAATTGGTGAACTACTAAGCCTATTTGAAGAAATGTTGTCACAAGGATTAGTTCTTGATGGGCAGGCATTCAGTCATTTAATTATTGCATTTTGCAGGAATGGTTCTTGTCAAAGCAGAGAGATATACAAGGTCTGTCTTGTTCTAGACAAAATGCTTGGTATTGTATAACTTGCAGGTATATTTCTTTTTCTACTTTGTCCATTCATTTTTTGTTGGAAAATTGAAGTATCTAGTTAGCAATCTCTAATGGTAGTCGCAAACATTTTTTATATTATCGGGTTCACCATTTCGGGTGCCAAACCCATCTCAGAGATTTGTTGGTATGGTATGTATCGGTCTGTACCGGTGTACTAACATCATTTTCAATAAAATGATCATTAAGGTTTATCAACTCCTCTAGTGAGGACTAGAACAAGCAACCTGCATACGCATACACCATTTCCTATCCTAGCATCAAAGACACTTTTTGAAATGTTTCAGTCATATTGATCTTCAAGTTAATTGGAAACTGTTGCTTCTGAACTTGACATGTATTTCATAATTAGTGCTGTAATTCTGTTTTCATGAACAAAGTTTGTGAACGGTTAATGGTATGTGCATCAATTATTTGCTTTTCTGAATAGAATACGTAAACATGTGGTAGTAAATTCAAATGTTCATTTACATGGGCAAATTTTCTTGTTCTTATATATCATGTGGTCAACGACTATCTCTGTATCCTAGTTTGAGTTATGCAAGCAGCTGCAAGGGTGGAATAATGTAATTAACAATTTTGATTCTTTCTGATGCATAAAGGGTATGAAAGAGTTCAAACCTTTCAACAATCACTAAAGAAGTGTCTTTTCAGGGCTTAACCATATCTTAACCTTCACACCTTTAATTGAGGCACTGTTCCAACCCTGAACTCTTGAGAAGCTCGTAAATCCCTAGAGCAGCGAAGCATCAAAATTTATGCTTGTGCTTCTGTAATTTAGGGGATGTCTAGAGTCTCTTCATAATAAAGAGGAAAGAAATTATTCTAGTTGGCCTTTCAGTGACAGTTATGTGTTTGTGAGGATCTTGGAAATTCACTTCCTATAATCATATATTGTTGCTTGTTTGCAGTTTGCAGTTGACTCGATTAAGATGGTCTTCCTTTGATGAGGAATGGAGCAGTGCCACAATGCAACTTTTGGTTCATCACCAAGGATCCATGGTGCTTGGTTTGAATGCTTGGGCTGTGCAAGATCTGCTCATGCCCTGAAGTGGCAAATGACAGAGGCAACAATGACTCGGGCATTTGTTCAAATCCAGATGCATGATGCGATTGGTAACACGGATGATGATCATGCATAGTTGAGCATCCTATGGTGGTTTTGTAGGTTGTTGAATGAAAGGGCATGGAGCACCAGCAAAGGATCAAGAGCGGTCAATACTTAAGACGTTGGGCATGTTTCTCCTTTACATGCCCGCTAGTTTACAGTTTATCCTCTGCAACAAAGAATCAACTTCGCCAATCAATTGTAGATTGAATGAGTGTGGATTGTCTCTTGACTTTTTCTGCAAAATGACTGAATTCTTTCTCTTACACATTGGTTGAACTTCGACTGGATATAGTGTAGTAACATCATATTCGTCTTGCAAGATGTCATCATTCACAAATGAATGAGGTGTTGGAAGACATGATGAACCTCGTGATATTTTTGTTTACTTCACCCAATTCGTGATGTACTAAAGAATTCAAAAGGATTTATTACAACCATTATTGAGCAATTTATGTTGTCTGATTCTTAGAACTCCTATGAATTCTTCTGGATTTTTTTGTCATCTCTTGTTGAACATCTATATGAGCAGAATTATCTGGTATACTACTATATCTTAATCATCTTCGAAACACTCCTTTGCTTCCAATAGCGTCGACCAGAGACTGAATTCCCATGCCAATGATGAACCACGTAACTCCAGCTAATAGCATCTGCAGCTCGAAGCTATTGACAACTCCCAATGCTGTGCTACCAGCTATGTGCTCCTTCAGGCCGCCACCCATTTCTGTGCCTTTAGATCCTACAGCTGCTGCAGAGACAACTGCCATCATCACTGGTCCCATCAGATCCTTTGCGCTTCTGCTTCTCTTGTTGATGGCTGCTGCACTTCTTACCTCCTCGTCTTTGCTCTCCGAAACATCACCGGAGAAGAGCTCTAGTGTGCTAGGAGTAGTTGTCGATGGTGGTGGAAGAAAGGTGATTGGGGTCCAGTAGTAGTCATCACCATGTTCTGAACTAGTGGAGGTCTTGCCCTTGAGTCCTGCCATGCCTTTTGTCTTGTGTCTTGCAGCAGCTTCTTGAAGTCTATCTGTGCTGGGGATGGTGGATCTTGTCGGGATGAGGGTGAGATAGGTATCTGCCTCAACCGTTGCAGCACTTGGAGGTCGCCAGTACCACCAGTTGGAGATCGATCTGATCCCTCGAATGGCCCAAGACCTCGATTCTCTTCGAAGATCATGTACCTAAACCCCACAAAATCCAATCCACGTTTACAGATATGAATTGGCTATGTCAGATTCCATGCAATCCAATGCTTGTTGATACCTTGGATTCTTCCCTCGATGCTTTCTCCTTCATCTGCCGGTATCTGTTCTGGAATTTGGTCACCTCAGCAAATATATTGGAAACGCGCGTTCCGACGGCATTACCTGCTGATATCCTCACACTTCCTCTAGGCTGCTTCGACATCAGGAACTCCAAAGCTGCAAGATTCGATCTTTCGACAAACCTGCACTGCGGATCGATGCAGTTATCAAACGAGAGAAGATTAGCGATTCAGATGGAGGTCTTACGAGATGCAGTCGACAGGGCAGGTTTTGACAGCGTCGAGGATTCTCTCCTCCGGATCAGCCCACTGCCCCACAACTCGAGCTCGGCCATACGCCGATTCGATGGCGAAGGTTTTGCTCGCAAACAGAGCACACTTTAGGCAGCCAACACACTTCAGTTCATCTACGAACACGGCGCGCTCTTCGTCTTCCGGCCCAAACCACGTGGAGTAGACAGGCTTCCCTGTATATCCTTGGAACTCTGAGAGTTTTGCTTGCTCCTGCGAGTTCACACCAAGTAAGCTATGTCAGAGCAAGAAGGCTGCTATCGACGTTGCTGACCATTGAACCCACATGATCATAGGCGCCGCGAGCGATGGGGTCAGAGAGGACGGAATAGATCTCGTTGAGGAGGATGGCCATGTCGTGGCCCGCAGGCCCGGCGATGTCGGGGTGGCACCGCTTCTGCAGTGCCCGGTACGCCTTCTTGATCTCAAACTGATCCGAGCACCTGTCGACGCCGAGAAGGTCGTAAAGATCGAAGTCCGTGGCCCAAGAGGAAGAAGAAGAGGAGGAGGCCCCTCTGCGTGTGCATCTGTAGGAAAGGTGCCTGTGGAATTGCAGGGAGTGGAAGTGGCTGTTGTTCCTTGCTTTTGGCGGGGCATTGAGGTAGAAGACCGGAGGAGGAGGAGGAACAGCTCCGTGAAAAAGCGCTACGGCGGCCATTCCCCTCTGCTGTTTGGTGATTGAGGTAAGAAAGTGCGAGAGAGAGGTTTGGGGAAGAAAGCTGCGTGTTGCTAGTTCCACGTATGTTGGATTGCGCGGCATGAAGTGAAAAGATCTTTGGTCATTGTCTTCAATAGATTTTTTTCTTTTCTTTTGTTTGTTTTGGTTCTCCCAGAAAATATCATTCGATGAATCAATACGACCAAAAACTCTTACTATATTAGATCTCAAAATAAAAAAAGAAAATATTTTAGTATTTTATCTAATTTTTTTTTTATTGATCCCTAATATTCATTTTTAATCCAGCGGGAGTGTCTTTTTTTTTCCTATTTTTATCCAAGAATTTTGATTAAAATAACTTGATCAAAATCTCTAATGTTTATAATTAATTATCATAATATTTTCGAAAAACAAAAACATAATACTAATCATTTATATTCATATCATAACGATTATGTGAAATTTTAAATTGGTTTAGTGGAAGTTAACTAAGTTACAATCAATCACAAAACCTAATAAAAAATATTTAATTTTGAAGATTAATTATCATAAATTTTTTAAAGATAAAATAATATTAATTATTTAAATATTATTTCAATAAAAGTTTATGTTAGTTTAGTGGGAGTTGACTAAGTTATATTAGAAATTGACCTCGTTTACACTAAAACATAAAACTTATTAAAAATTCTTTAATTTTGATAATTATTTATAATAATATATTAAAAAAATACTAATAATCTTAGAACCAAAACCAAGTAGTCTGGTGAAATTTTGAGTTGAAAGTTATACTCAAAATTGAACTAAGTCACATGTGATCATAAAATATATTTTAAAAAAAATCTTTGATTTTGATAAATACTTATCATATAATTCTCAAAAATAAAAATAATGTTAATTATTTTAGAACCATAATCTAGTAGTTTTGTAAAAGTTTAGGCTGGGTTAGTAAAAGTTATAAAGTTATACTCGATTACAATATCGATTCAAAAATTTTACAATTTTAATAACAAATTATTATATTTTAAAAAATATTAATCATCTAAAAATATATTAAGGTTATTTTGCGAAAATTTAGATTGGTTTAGTAAAAGTTGACGCTGTAATAATCAAAATTAAACATAACTTAAACTTAGATGACAGAACTTTTTTTATTTCAATTGATTTGGTTCATTATTTTTTTTTTTGTCATTTATAAAATATCGTCAAATAAAATAAATATAGGGGGCGTCATTGAATAAAAATTAATAGTCGAGATTTTTTCCGATAAAATAGTTAAAATATTTAAGATTTTTCTCCCGAACAATTTAGCCAATACATACCTGTTTGGTACACATACCGCGTTGCGTGGATAGTGGGACCCACGTTTATTAATATACCTGTCGTTTGAATGGTGAACAACACGGACGTGTCGTTACAACCCAATCACGCATAGGGTGAATCTCGTGGCACGTTACTTACGGGTACGTAAGTTTCTGTTGCGCCGGGTGAGTCATAACTTCTTGGCCATCTCCCTCAGCACGTACTTTGTATCTTCCCCGTCGACGTCTTCGGCAGCTCCGCCCTGAACACCACTGTCTTCGGCGCCATGTAGTGCGGCATGCGCTCACGGCACCACTCGATCACCTCCTTATCCGTCGGCGCCGCCCCCGCCCACTCCTTCAGGCTCACGAACGCGCACGGCGTTTCCCCCCAGTACTCGTCCGGGCGCGCCACCACCGCCGCCTCGTTCACCGCCGGATGACCGTACATTACGGACTCCAGCTCCACGCTGCTCAGGTTCTCCCCGCCGATGATGATCACGTCCTTAGATCGGTCCTTGATCTCGATGTATCCGTCGGCGTGCATGACGCCGACGTCCCCCCCGTGTAGAACCATCCGGACAAGTTGAAAAGGAGGAGTACGACGTCGCCGCGGGAGATGCCGAGGGAGGAGAGGGCGGAGGCGAGGCGGAGGCAGCGGCGGTGGGTCTGCGACCAGGTGAAGACGGTGCGGTGGCATACAACTGAGGGGCAATCGCCGTAGACGGTGGCGGTGCGCTCAGAGGAAGCCGAGCGGCGTGATGGGGCTGCTGTTGGCGGCGTTGGCGCCCAACTGATCCATGGCCGCCTTCCGCTCGGGTTCTGTGTCCGGACGAGGATTAGAAGAGTGCACTTGGTTTGGTTTTATCGCACGTGCTGACCTCAACGGATGGTAGCTCGAACGAGGGCTTCACAGTACCATGATCGATTCTGGACATCGAACCAAAAACATCACTTCAAAGAACGAAAACAAATCTATCTACGTCACATCGTGATATTGTCGAGATATAATTGTTGGGTTGATAGCCCATATTCAATCGTGGGTTTTATTAGCATATCGGTCATTCTCTCCTCATTCTCTCTTAATCTAATCCTAATTTATATTAGGAGATATGGTGACTATAAAAAGAGGTAGAAAAGAGGTAGTTTTTGGTAGCCACGTGATTCCAAAGAAAAAGGAGGAGAACAAGAAAGAAAAGGAAGAAGACAAGGATAACACAGAGAGGCTGTTCTCAATCATCTAGCAGTGCTTTCATCTCTTGTTAGATCAGATCTACAGTAGATTCTTACTGTGATTACTTGGGGAGAATTAGGGAGGATTTAGATATTATGCATAGTGACATGATCCTTGTATCCTAGTTATTCTCTTGTGATTGTTGCTAGGGTTTTGGACAAGAGATTGAGATTTGTATATTCATTATTATTATAGTGGATTATCTCTAGTTTGTCCCGTGATTTTTACCCTTAACAACAAAGGGGTTTTCCATGTATATCTTGGTGTTCTATTTGATTGTGGTTCTATTTAATTTCGCTGTGTGTTATGGGCTACTAGTATTTGTTCATATACAAAAGTTTATTTCTCTTTATATCCATCAATTGGTATCAGAGCAAGGTTGTAGTGATTTAATTTTGTATTAGAAAATGGAGGCTAGTAATATTTCTCGCATGATTAGTTTGAATGGAAACAATTGGATGATATACAAACTAAGAATATAAGATCTCTTATATTGCAAAGATTTGTATAGATCTTTGCAGGGGGATAGTGCAAAACTCACAACTATAATAGATGATGAGTGGAAAAGGTTAAATCAAAAAACATGTTAGGATCAGGGATCGACACTAAGAGGGAGGGGGGGTGAATTAGTGCAGCAGTGAAATCATGTCAACTTAAAAAAAGTATCGTATGATAAAACTATTTACGTCGAAAATCGATCTCGGAAATATCTTAACTTGAAACACGTTCGTAAATGAATTAAAGGTAGTAAGCACTTAAAGAGGTTTGCAGTAAGGTAATAGCAATAATGAAATACAAACCAGAGAACACAGCAGTTTATAGTAGTTTAGTTGTCGTGACCTACATCCACTCATCCGATTCCTCTTCCGTCGAGGCCACCAGAATCCATTAACGATCTTCCTTTGATAGGCGAAGATTAAACTCCTTCTTACACCCCTCTTACAGAATTCTAACACTTAGAACTTGAGAAGGATTCTCACAAGAGATTTCTATAGCGTTTCTTTTCTTTTTTGTTCTTTAATTCTTATTTCATGAACTTTTTAAATTTCTTAGTGAGTAGTTCATGTTCAACATCACTTGAGCTTATGCTCGAGTGGTCTTCAAATGTTCTAAGTTCGAAATCCATCCTGTTCTTTGGAAGGTGGTTCTCAAGTTCTTTACGTGTATTGCATGTCATTTCATAGGTCATCAAAGACCCTATTAGTTCTTCGATCAAAAAAGTATTTAAATTTTTTGATTCTTGAATTGCGATTACTTTTGAATCCTAAGTTTTAGAAAGTGAGCGTAAAATCTTGTTAACGAGTTCAAAATTCGAAAAGCTTTTACCAAGTGCTTTTAGACTATTGACGACATCCATAAAACGAGTGTACATGTCTCAAATAGTCTTTCTTGGTTCCAAACAAAATATCTTAAAATCATGCATCAAAAAATTTACTTTAAGAATCTTTTATACCACTTGTGCCTTCGTGTGTGATTTCAAGAATATGCCAAATATCGAAGGCCATTTCGTACAAAGAAACCTGATTAAACTCCGATTTATCTAAGGCGCAAAATAGAGCATTCATAGCTCTAACATTTAAAGAAAAAGTTTTCTTCTCCAAATCATTTCAATCGTTCATTGGAAGAGAAGGCCTTTTAAAACCAAATTCGACTATGTGATATAAATCGAGATTCAATAAAAGCAAGAAAACTCTCATTCGAGTTTTTCAATAAGTATAGTCTGTCCCATTGATAAAGGGAGGATGAATAAGAGAGTGACCCTCTCGAAAGTCGAAAAGAGCCAATTCTCTTGGGTGTTAATCTAAGTGAGAAATAACGAGGATCTGATACCAATTGTTAGGATCAGGGGGTGGCACTACGGAGGGGGGGGGGGGGGGGGGGCGGCGGGGTAGTAAGTTA